GAATATGTACCCCGACTGCGACTTGAAGTCGTCTTTGTCAGTCTGGAAGCTCGCGTAAGTATAACCTTTAACAACCAACTCATTACAGCCACCATAGACTAGGTATTTATCCTTGTTCCTTTTTAGGTACTTTAGGATATTCTTGGCCGCAGTCCAATGCGCCTTTCCTGGGTCTGATTGGTATCGGCTCATAGCACTCAAGGCATAAAATATATCTGGCCTAGTACATATCATGGCATACATGATTGATCTAATAAGCGAAGCATATGGAATCTGACTCATTCTCTCTCGCTCATCAGGTGTCTGTGGACACTGTTTCTTGCTGAGAGTTATGCCATGGGACATGGGTAGGTGCCCTCTCTTGGCCCCTTCCATGTTGAATCGTGCCAGTACCTTATCTATATAAGTACTTTGGCTCAATCCCATCATCCTCTTAAATCTATCCCTATAGATCTTGATGCCCAATATGTACTGTGCCTCTCCCAAGTCCTTCATTGAAAAGCACTTTCCCAACCACCCCTTTACGAAATCTAATAGTTTAATGTTGTTTCCAATGAGTAATATGTCATCAACATATAAGACTAGGAATGTGATGTCACTTCTAGTGACCTTCTTGTAGACACAAGACTCATCTGGATTCTTAATGAAACCAAACTTACTAATAGCTTCATCGAATCACAGATTCCAACTTCTGCTTGCCTGCTTTAGTCCATAAATGGACTTTTTAAGCTTACATACCTTCTCGGCATTTCTTGGATCAACAAAACCTTCCGGCTGTGTCATGTACACAGTTTCTTCCAAAATCCCATTGAGGAAGGCGGTTTTGACATCCATTTGCCATATTTCATAGTCGTAATATGCAGCAATCGCTAGGATGATCCGGACGAACTTAAGCATTGCAATTGGCCATATGATATCATTTATAATTGTGTCTATGATATCATCTATAGGCTGGACGATATCCTCTATTGGATATATGATGATATCCTCTAACAAATTGTAGTATCCTCTACCAAAGATAAATTGTTCATATCCTGTATCAACTACTACATTCGTTTAACAAACAATACATATCCTACAATAAAACTGTAAGTATCCTCTATTAAATAACACATAACCTCTATCAAATAATACATATCCTGATCAAATACTGCATATCATATATACTTGACGCACGAATTTTTTGGTGTAACTTGCCGCACCCAATACCTTCTCATGCCAAATATTATCACGTGTTATTGACACAAATCAATAAAATTCTATAAAAGGCACATGTAGCATACCCTTGATTTATGTAACAACAATATATGTTATTGAACTATACTTTATATAAGATAAAAACACGGTGTAATTTTTATAATTTCATCAGTAAGATATATCTATGTTATTTCAATTTGATAAACATGAATTAATGATCACTCAATAATTATATTAACTTTGATACTCATGAATTAATGATCACTCAAAAATTGTATTTGTAAAAAGTATTGTCGCTCCTAAAAGTTGTTATTAGTTTTAAGATATTACAAATTACGATGTACAATATAATAATCATATTAGAATGTGAATTTTTTTTTATATTAATCGATTAAAATATATCTTGTTTTGGATTACTTTTTAAAACAAATTGATGATGTAAAATAATGCTTTGTAAAATACTGAGTTTTGTGTGCGGCTAGCCACAGCATGTATCTGCATGTAAAAAAAAAATAACCCCTATAATTCTGACCAAATAACGCCTGTAACACTGACCATATAACCCTTGTAACACTGACCGAGTAACTCCCATAATGGCTAGCCACGCAGTGTGGCCAATCACATATAAAAGTTGGAAGATGTTCATTAAAATTATTTTTTATTACTGGTATAATTTATTTTATACATATGAAATGTCGGAATTTTATTTAAAATAAAACTATAAAATAATTTTTCTTTCCTAAAAAATCTATCTATATTTTGCTTACATGACACCATACACGTCATACTACTGCATAATTATCAAAGGTATTAGTAAGAGGGTATTTATATTTTTTTTCAAAATACTACGCATGAATTAATGATCCTCACTTAATAATAATATTTGTACCATAAAAATATATATAACCATTCGATTGTGAGGTTTTCATTTTTAGTTGATTTAAATAATATCATAAAATTATCTTTTTTTGATGTCTCGTTTTATTTGATTTAAATATATCATAAATAAATCTTGTTTTATACAACATTTTAATACAAATTTTATGATATAAAAATAACATATTTATGAGATAATTTTTGAAAGTTACAATATATTTTATTCATTTGGAAAATTAGAAGTCCTATAAGAAAAAAAAACTCTAAATAACTTTCTTATCCTAAAAACTCTAAATTCTACTAAATATCTTATATGTTGTCTACGTGGCATGACACTTGGCGAATAGTTGAAACGCCAAGTGTTGTCTCGTTGTCTGACTAAAAGTTTAGCTTTATATATTAGTTATATGATGTGGTGACAATCACATGGATGATCCGATCCGCAAGGTTCCAATAACTACATATCCGATTTGACCTATGCACGAATATGCAAGCATAGGCCAATTCAGCCGCCTTTTGTTCCATTTCTCGTGGAGTCATATTCTCATCAGTACGAGTTAAAGGAATGGCTGAGTGCCACATAGAAAAATAGTAGATTTTAGCCAATGAAAAAACAGATTTGCAATTTTTTTTAAAATAGAAAATTCAACTGCAACATTAGCAAAAATAAGGAATTAAATTAAGTGTCATTTAAATATAAAAAAACTATAAAAGATAATTTGAGGAGATTAAATTAAATAAATAGAAAATTATGCGTGATTTTAAAGATTTTATCTACTTAAATACTTAGGAATGAAATCCACAAACTTTCATATGTGGTCGGCCATACGGTGTGGCCAACCATCGTAAGTGTTACTTCGCTAGTGTTATAAGGGTTACTCATTCAGTGTTACAATGGTTACTTCATCTGTGTTATATGGGTTACTCCTTGGTATTATAACGGTTACTTAGTTAATATTATAGGAGTTACTCGGTCAACGTTAGGAATTACTTTGGTTTTCTTCTACAAGCAGCCACATTGTGTGGCCAGCCGCACACATAACGCAAATGAAAATCACTGTAAAATATCATCGTAATTTATTTAAAAACATTGAATTTTGTCTTTTTTGAAATACTTACAAAATAAAAATACTTAATTTCACAAGAATAGACAACATATTTTTATGTGTATAAAAAAAAGACAAAATACTTTTATCAATTTTTAAATAACTTACAAAACAAAAAATAATGTTCAATAGAGATTTTATTAATAACTTTATGTTTGCAAAATCATATGGAATTAAGAGATTAAAAAAAACTATACATATTATATAAAAAATTGTGCATCACACGAGTTTCATCTAAATTATTATAATTACAAGCATGCATGACGTTTGGCACCTCGATGTCGGCTCTTCACCACCTACGGCTGCAAATATAAAAGGATGGACTAAAAATAAAATTGGTGCAAAAAAAAAATAAAATAAAAGTGGACAAAGGGAGTATAACAACACTACATTAGCTGTTGAACGGACAATAAGTACTATCACCAGTTTGATCTGCTTTGCTAACTTTCAATAATGGTAAAATAGGGTTGCTTGTTGTGAAAGATACACAAAACAACTGATGTTTGTGTACTTTGTATTTTTTTTAATAGGCAAAATTTGTTAGAAACCATATTCCATCTGTCCCATAATAACTTACACAGAGGGAGTAACAATGAGGTCTCAATCGTCTCATAACCACTTTTTGAGTTGTGGTTCGAAGGGCCAACGGGCCCTGGTTTGAGGTTTGGGGTTGGGGCCTAACTTTAAAATAAATTCACCACCTTTTTTCTTTTTTTTTATACGAAAAAATTTATCATTAGTAAATAGCCATACAATATCTATAATAATAATAAAGTTTTGTAAGCCACAGATTTAAAGAAAATAACATAACTTTTACCATCAAAATTATAACTATTTTGCGTATTTGGCATTGCTTACACTCTATCGCCTAAAGTTTGACGCGAGCAGTGATTTTCAATGTTTTCGCATCTTTCCAATTAGAGACTTTTGCAATGTGCACTGATGTTTTGATCGTATAGTTGATGACAAACCTTGAACCCATATGAATCAAAATCACCTATTCAATTATTATTAGAACCCTAACAATAAATTCTCATCCATAGATGATAATCAAAATCCCAAAAGAATGGGAAAAATTGAAAAAAAACAATAGGATAGACTATCACAAATGAAGAGAACAAAGCAAAACAAAAATATTAATAGCAAAAAACTAAATTAAATTAAAGAAAAACGGTTGGAAATAATCTAATTTTCGAAGAAATTAGTTTATTTTCAACCTAAATGAGTAAGAAAATTAAACCCTAATAGAGACAGGAGGGAGAAGAGAGAAGAGAGAAAAGAGAGAAGTGGGGTCATTAGGTATCACCTCCTCTCCTTATTATTACGTACTTCTCCCTTTTTTAATTAAATATTATACTTTTCTTTTGAAACTGTTTGTACTGTTTAATTTTAATTATATTGAATACTTTCTTTTTTGACAACTTAGTCCATTTAAATATCAATTTACTCGCCACTCAAAGTCCCACTCAAACATACTCCTTCTGTATTTTATTATTGCATCATTTGTAATTTTTGCATTATTTATTTGATCACTTTGACTAATGTTTGTGATTCATACGTAATACATAAGAAAAAATATTGTGATCTTGTGAGTACATGGTGGAATCGTATCAGTGAATAGCTTATTAGTTTTCAATCGTATACTTTCTACTCGTTGATAATAAAGATATTACTGATCATAAATTTGCATCGGCATACGTACGCATGACAAATGGAGCAAATAATAAAATACAAAGAAAGTACTACTTTTTTTACAAAAATATTATTTCCCTCTCACATCAGTCACTTCTCGATAAAATATTAACGTACTCGCTATATTTTCTTATAATATTTTTAAACCCCAACGACCTTCTTACATTTTTCTTATCATCAAGTCGATTATTTAATTTTTCCATGACTTATGTACCAGTTAAAGTACAATACTTTTAAAAATAAATTGGAGGGCCGGGAGTAGTAGGTATTGCAATTGTCCATTAGTTAGTGCTCCTTGAAACTGCCTATAAATAGAAGCTCGTCATTAGCACAACCAAAAACCACCGAAAAAACAAACTTTAATTGTTTGTACTTAAACAATGGCCTCTTTAAAGGTATTTGTTCTTAGCATCATTTTTGCTGTTCTTATTCTTATATCCTGCAATGTCTCAGCTCGTCACCTTGGTGAGACAATTTCTACTCAACTGAAGCGTAAGTTTTTCATCCTTCATAATCATGCTTTAATTTTTGAATTGACTCTAAATTAGCTTACATAAACAAACTTAAGGTCCAGTATAAGCTCAATCAGCGTGACACGTTAAAAAGTATATAAAATTGAGACACCTAACCTAATGCGGACACCAGCCAGCCTTTGTACAGCAACATCGCATTGCACCATTGGCCAATCAACGTAGGATGCTGGTTGCTGGTGTGAATGTGTGATACACTAGTCTAACTTAATGATACAACCTATTTTTCGTTTTTTCACATATAAATTGGACATGTTTTCCCTCTATTTCAAGACACTGAAAAGATAAACCCAAAATCGTTTACACCGGTAATGTTTCGGGGTTTTTTGATATTCTTTGGGAGAGTTACAATTCCAAGACTGACCTTTGGACGCCTGTACCTGCAAAACAACGGAGACTCTGGTGGGTGGGAGCTCTGCCTCCGACGATCAAGTTAAAACATGTATGGGGAGTAAAGTGCGAAAAGTAAAAGGTCTCTCTTGGAAATCAAGGGAGTATCTGCAATGTGAAATTGCTCAGTTCGAGGTGTCAGGTGTCTGACTTTCTCTAATTGTGAGTTGATGTGAATTAACTATTTCTGAATAGATGTTCCTAAGAGGGAAACATCTCCCTTTTATAGTGTGTTGGAAAACGTGCCCAGTACTAGGTTTTAGTAAACCTAGGCCTGACTAGGCTTTGCCTAGGAATTTGGGCCGTAGAAGGCCATTTTTCTGATGGGCTATCTGTCTGCCACGTGTCGTGGCCTGATTGGTCCACCTTGGACCTTTCACAAGGTGACACGTGGCGGACTCTGGTTGGTCCACTTGGATAACATGTGGAAGGATGTGAGTAGTCCACGTTGCGGGGAAAAATCCCCTAATCATTTTCCCCTCACAGGGGTGACATGGCATTTCACGTGGCGTCTGTGACAGATGTCACACCATGATTGGCTAACTGTTATCACCGTTTTTTTGTTTTTTTTTTTTACTGTCTCTTGGAATTCACCACCTATAAATAAGGGGTGTCCAAATCATTTGGACATTCTAGAAACTTTTCAGACAGAACTTTGGACGCTTGCTCTAACACTTTAGACGGCTGCCGCTTGTATACAGACCGCCTGTTCTTAGACCGCCTGCTTCCTCAGCCGCCAAGTTTTTCAAAAGTTTAGACTTCTTCTCAAAGGTAAACGCTTATTCTCTTGTACTTTTCTCTTTGCCTTTTTTTTTCCAAAAATGGTAGCCCAAAAGCACGCGGCACGACGTAGGTTAGTGATCAGCCGGTCACTGGGGATGGCTGAATCTAGAACTAGGAGTGCCGGCTGCCCCTTGCTGGACCACCCTTTGCGAACTGCCCAGAGTCCGACTGTCTATGTGTCTGTGCAGGACACCATGGCAGAACAAAAAGATCTACAAGAGTGATAAACTCAGACGACTCCTCACTTTATGTGCCCATTAGCGAGATCTCGGACGTGCCACCAGGCGTCCCTAGCACCCCAAGTGATTCTATTTTAGCAAAATCAGAGGAGGTACAGAATGACCCTCCTATCATTGATCTATCTGGGCAGGCGGCTGCTTTGCCCGAGAGCTCAAGCGATGACTCTGAGCCTAGCACCTCGAGTCGGCATTCTGGCGACTTAGAGGAGAGGCACTCTCAGCTACATATTGCGAAAGAAAGCCATGAGGTGGAGAAAGGAGAGAAATGGGCATAGTCAGCTGCTACCCATAGAGAAATGTATACCCCCTACTTTTTCCATGTTCCTTAAGGCAAGCGCAAGGCCATGTCTGAAAAGATTGGGAGTTTTAGGGCTGACCATGTGATGGGTCATGGTTACATTCTTACGGTGTCGGATGCCGAGGATACGGTAGTCTGGCCAGAGAAGTCCAGCTACGGGGACGAGTGTTTTGGCTGCTAAGAGGCGGCTATTAAAGCTGGTTTAAGGTTTCCTCTACATCCAGCTGTTAAGAGGATTTTGGATGGGTACCAGTTGGGTATCTGGAAACTGGCCCCAAACTCATGGTTCAACATCTTGGGCTATGTTACCGACTGTGAGATGTATGAGGTGGATCCAAGCTTCAAAGCATTTGCTCATATGAACTATCTCAGCCGAACCCCAAAAACAAGCGGGACCGGCTGGTACAGTTTGTCTAGCCACAAGGGCTACATGATGACCATGAGGAAGGAGAACAAATGGAAGGATTGGAGGAACAACTTCTACATAGTCTCCTGCCCTGATAAGGTCAAGAACAGAAAGTACAACAGGTGGAATAGGGATCCACCGTACTTGACTGGCAGCTCTGACCTGCAGCCTGGTTCCTCGAAGAGCCAAGGAAGAGATCCTAGACCGAGAGCTCTTCAAAGTAATTATACAAGCGAACCCCGAGACTAGGGTGAGGGAGTTCATCCCTCAAAATTACATTCCAAAGTATAACTGGTTATACGATGGGACATATCTGGCCGCCTACGGCCTTACCGAGGAGATGACGAGAGGTAGTAGACCGCCTGTTTAGAGTGTCTTGTTAGACTTGGCTGATTTTGTGTAACCATTTGATTCATCTTTTGCAGATAAAGCTATGGACAAGATCTCGGCCTCCAAGAAAGTAGCCGCCCAAATCCGCGCGGCCATTCTATGCAAGCGTTCATTGAGGAGTCGCTTGCCAAACAGGTGCCTAGGGTGAGTTTCTCTTCATTTAACACAACCTCTTTATGTCTGTCGCCTCTTCGTGGCTAAATGACTTGTGTTGCAGGGCAACGTGGTCAGACCTTTCTCCTCATCCCAGCCGGACCCCAAGGTCAGGAAGCAGACGGCCGGGGATGTGCCGACTCCTGGAAAAGCTAGGAGACAGGCGGCTGAATGGTCAGGAAGGACTCCCCAAAGCGGGGCAAGGACTCCGGCTACCCCTGGGATCAGCCGACCCCCTAGAGAAAAGGAGGTGGCGAGAGGTATAACTCTTCAAATTTTCCAACTTTCATCAAGCAACCACCTCCTCTGAAATCAGGCGGCTTGTTTTCTATTTTTATGCCGCGTATTAATCAAGGTCTACTTTGCATATGCCCTTGAAGAGCCGGACCTGGTTCAGATGGCCAAGTCCATGTTGAAGGTCATCCCTGTTGAGGACAGGAAGTCTGTTAAGGGAGTCGGCACCCTAAACCTTGAAGCCATCCTGGTTCTCCTTGCCGAGGTATACTTAGTAAAAAGTTCTCTTTTTTATTTAAGCATTTGCTTGGTCGCCTGTGACTGACGACTGCTTTTTCCCGACTACAGTCTATGCTGCGAGTGTATGGTCTCCGCAAACCTATCTCCTACAACAAAGAGGTAAAAGCTGCGAAGGCCATGGCTGCCTCTGATTCTGATAAAGTTATGTTCCAGATAGCTCGAAACGAGATTCTGACCACTGACATATTATATTACTAGGCGTCAGCCACTTTGCAGGTCAAAAAGGACTTAGAGGCGGCCAGGAAGAAGATCTTGGAGCTGGAGTAGTCTATTAAGGACCTCAAAGCTAAGATGGAGCCTCTAAAGGAGGCGGACAAGGAAGCCGAGGGACTCCGCAAGCAGGTAAATAAAGGCCGCCTACAGAGTCAAGAGGCTGACCTCACCCAAAAGCTGACGAGCAAGCTGGCGAAGAGAAGATGGCCCTTGTTCAGGACATGATGGACGACTGCAACGCTATTATGAAGATGACCTGGGCGGCCCTCTTCCCTGAATCCGGCTATGAAAAATGGGAGAGCCAATGCGCCGTCTGTTCTAATCAATACAACAAGAAGATCATGGAGCAGGCAGACGGCGACGAGGATGCGGAGGATGAGGCGTCCGACTCCACCTCCGAGGAGTCGAACCAAGAAGAGAATGACAAGGAGGAGGAGGAGCCGGCGCAGGAGGAGGCGGATGGTGAAAAAGAACAGGCGCCGATTGAGGAACCAAACCAGGCGGCTGTCGATACTGAACGCCCTCCAACTGCTTGAACTCTCATCTTTTTATGTCAACTTTCCTTGGCCTGTGTGCCGCTTGTTTTGTATCATTACCCGACCAAGGGGTCGGGGTTTATTGATAATTTTTAATTTTCAACATTTATGTCGGTCAACTGGCTGACTGTTAATTTTTAAACATCCGGCTGTTTTTGCCGGTTTTTCCATGTTTTGAAGCGTTTGAAATTTTTTGCTTCTCATGAATTTTGCTATGTGTATGTAGCTTCTTGTTTTCATGAATGCTTTATATACCGACTGATCTTGCCCCTGGGCAACTGGCGCCTGGTTTTCAAAGGTGAATTGATTGACATGGAATTTTTGATACTTTAAAGAGTATTATTAATTCTAGGTCAATCAATCACTATGGTGATTGCCCCAAACCAGGCGGTTAGTCGGCCATTGTACAGGTGAACACCTATCGTAACTTGGCTCTCGGCCTTATAGTAAACAACATTATACTAAGTTTGTACTTAGTTTATTTTATTGGTCATCAATGGTCCGTCTGTTTGGTGCAAAATAGGCGCCAATCTGGATGTTATTAATCAAAGTAGCTTTCACGGTGTTGCTAACCTGAATAGGAATAGTGGCTGAATGGCACCTGTTTTTTACAAGGACAGGCAGCTTCATTCGTACCTTTTAGATTCCATTGTAGGTCGACTATGAGTTAACCTTTTGAGGGGTTAATCTGTCTCCGTCATTAGAACTTGAGTAAACAGAAGAATCAATCGGCCGTGGCCACACATTATTTTCCCGTTTACAATTTTTAAGCCATTAATCGTTTCTCATATGGAAACAGGCGGCACTTGGAATATTCCGCCTAGTAGTCGTCTACAGGTGTACAAGCAGTTACTGTTTGATAACCTTTAGAAGGAATAGTGGCCGAATACCGTCTATTTGCCAAAAAACAGGCGGTTTGATTCGCACCATTTAGGTTCCATTCCAAGGTTGCCAGTGACTATGAGTTAACCCTTTGGATTAATCAATCTCTGTCACTTTTGTTTGAGTGAGTAGAGAAAATAGGCGGCTTTGGCCGCATGGTGTCTCTTTATTCGCCAAGTTTTGCTTAGCTATTTACTTAAATTATGCCGACTGTATTGTCCCAAGCAATAACAGGCGGTTTATGACTTAGATTTTATTGTCTATTGTGTGTTTGTAGTATAGCGGTACGTTTATCTTTTACTCAGGGCAAACGATTGCGAGGTTGTCTTGGAGACACTCGGTAGGGCCGTTTGTTTTAGGTTTATAGAGCAATGTGCCACCGAAATGGGAAATGCTCTCTACGGCGAATTCACCCGGATGGATGTCGCCAGACGCCTGCTCTTTTTTGGGACAGATGTATTAGTTTAATTTTATTAGGGTCATCCGGCCATGGGCCTTAGGTTGATCATCCGGCCCGTGACTTCAATAAGTTCAGAGAACAGTTTGATTAAGTCTATACTTAATCATGTTTACTCATGCGAGTTGGCGATTAAAAGAAATAAGGCCGACTGTGTACAGGCGGCTTGCCCCATTGAGGATACTTGCAAAAAACTAAAAAATCGATTGCAAATTTAATTGATATGCTTACAAATAATTTACAAATATCAGAAGTAGTAGTTTTTCAAGTTGTCTACGTTCCAAGTTCTGGCTAGCTGCCTGCTGTCTGGTGTTTCCAGGCGGTAGGTGCCCCTCTAACTTCTTCATAGATTTGGTAGGGGCCATCATAGTTAGGATTCAGCTTTCCCTGTTCGTTGGCCCTACCGACTGCTTCCATTTATCGTAACACAAGGTCCCCTACTTTTAGGGGCCGCTTGTGCACTCTTTTATCGTAAGCTCTCATCATTCTTAGACGGTAGATCTCATGGAGCAAGGCTACATTGCCCCTGCATTCTGGAAGCGAATCCAATGCTAGACGCATCGCTTCCCAGTTGGCCTCTTTGTCATAAAGCATGACTCGAAGAGTCGGCTCATAGTGCTCAATAGGCAGAACAGCCTCTGCCCCATAAACCATGAGAAATGGAGTTTCACCAGTCGCCCCTTTTTCAGTCGTCCGGATGGCCCACAGAACATGCGGTAGCTTGTCAGCCTATAGGCCGCTAGCTTTTTCAATTTTCTTCTTGATGCCATCAGAGATTAACTTGTTGAAGGCTTCAACCTGGTCGTTTGCTTAGGGGCGGCCGACTGATGCAAAACAACGAGAGATTCCTTGATCCCCCAACCCGTTCTTGAGAGCAGGCGTCTTGAGAGCAGGTGTCTCAAATTGAGGTCCATTGTCAAAAACCATAGACATAGGTACCCCATACCGAGTGATGACATTTCTCCAAATGAAGAAGATGACATCTTTTGTTTTTATGCCTTTGACTGCCTTCGTTTCTAGCCACTTGGTGAAGTAGTCGACTGCTACCAAAATATATCTCCGTTCGCCTTTAGCAGGCGTATAGGGACCCAAAATGTCCATGCCCCATTTGGAGAATGGTACTGGGATATGGATAGCCGTCAGGTCAGTGGTTAGACGATGGATAAGCTTGTCAAACCTTTGACACTTGTCACATTTTTTAACCATCTCCATGGCGTCTGCTTCTAGGGTAGGCCAGAAGTACCTTGCAGCTTGGCTCTCCATGAAGCTCATCAAGGCATGGTCGGCTGTAAAGTCGACTAGACTGTCGATCTTTGGGAGACGATAGTTATCTTTTGGACATGCCTTGTTCAAGTCTGTGTAATCTACACACATGCGCCAGGTTCCATTCGGCTTCTTTACAAGGACAACATTGGCAACCTAATCAGGGAAGTAGCATTACCGAATGAACTTAGCATCTAACAATTTTTTCACCTCGGTGGCTACCGCCTGGCTTCTTTCTTCGCCATGGTTCCTTTTCTTTTGCCTTACTGGCTTCTTTTTGGGATCCATAGCAAGCTTGTGGACGGCTAGGTCCGGGCTGATGCCTGGCATCTCGTCCACCTTAAAGGCAAAGATGTCTTTGAATTCTTTTAACAAGTGGTGCAAGTCTGCACCGAGTTCAGTAAAAGCAGTCGTCCCAACCTTAACAGTCTAGTCAGGACGAGAGTCATCTAGGGCGATGTCCATGTGCTCATCAGCTGGCTGGGGACGGAGTTCATCCGGCCTTTGACCGGTCAGTGATTGCTATTGTCCGTCTTTTTTCTTGGCCACCATTTGGTTGGCCTTTCTCTTATTGCCGGCTGCTGTTGCAGCAGGCGCAGCTTCCTTGACTTGGTCAAGGTCATTTGTTTCTCCACTAGGGCCGGCTGCAACCATAGTGGGCTTGACATCAGAGAGGTAACACTCCCTGGCCATCTTCTGGTCTCCCCTTAGGGAGCCGACTGTTCCATCATCCCTCTCGAACTTGAGAAGCATGAGAAACAGAATGATAACAGCCTTGGATTCATTCAGGGTGGGATGCCCAAAATCATATTGTAGGCCGTCAGTTCTTCGACAACTAAGAACCGAACCACCATGTGACGTCCCTCCCTTTTCTTGCCCAGACGAATAGGTAAGTCTATTCGACCTACCGGATGTACAACACCACCCCCTAATCCCACTAAGGGATGAGAGACCTGGTGCATACTCTCGGGCTTGTACCTGAGCTTGGTCAGGCATTTGTGACTGATGAGATCAGGCAAACTCCTAGTGTCAATGAGGATCCGGCCAACTCTTTACTTGGCCACTTTGCATTCTATGACTACAGGATCATCATGCAGCCTCATGACCCTGCTCTTGTCTTCCTCAGTAATAGTGACTTCGGGAAAGGAATCCTTGGACGCCTGTCCCTCGTCAAATGAGTTAACATCGAGCCGCCTAGCGTAGTCTTTATTACCCCAGATGGTAGGGCCGCCTCCAGCGAAGCCGCCTGCTATTGTATAGATCGGAGTTTCATCAGTATCCGAACTATTAGCAGAGTGATACTTCTTTTTGGGCGGCTGTCCAGTGTTAGTTTGTAGGGTAACTTTGGACCTCATAACATAGGACTTGAGTACCCCTTTGTCGGCCAGGCAGTCTAACAGACGCTTGAGGCTATAACATTCATTGGTATCATGGCCAATATCCTCATGGTAGTGACAGTATTTGTTCTTGTTCCGATTTTTGGCGGAACCTTTCATAGGAGCCGGCTTCTCAATAGAGACCCGGTCCTTAATCTCCATGAGGATGGAGTGACAGTCTTTATTGAATTCGTACATTGGGGAGTACGTCTTTGCTTCTCTTTTTTTTTTTCTAGGATGGCTGTTCAGAAGTTTCAGCCACCCAGACTTGTTTTCTTTTCTTTTCTTCTTTCTTAGCCGGTTGTGATGGCCGACTCTCTCTTTTGTCAGACCTACTTGAGTCCGACTGTTTACCGACATTGCAGAGTTCGGTCGCCTGTATATAGGCGTCCGCCTCCATCAACGCCTCTTGGAGGGTAGCCACCCTCTTTTTGACGAGGTCGAACTTGAAGGCTTACCCGTCCTTCAGACCTTTGAAAAAGTATGTGTAGGCTACCACATCAGACAGCCCTTGTATCTGAATTTTCATCAGATTAAAGCACCTGATATATAAGCGCAGCCCCTCCTTCTCTCCCTGTTGTATGGCTTCCAAGTCAAGACTTGTCTTCTTTGCAGGGATATTCATTGAGAAGTTTTACGCGAACAAGTATGCAAGCG